AGGGATGAACAATTAGAAAAGAGGAATATAAATCACAGGCATTTGCGGACGATATGGTATTCATTTAGATGATCCATTAAAATCAGGAATTAAATTAATCCAAAAAAATAGAGGAATTTGGTAAGGTAGCGGGACTTAAAATTAATAAGAACAAAACAAAGATCATTACGAAGAATCTCACCAAAAAACAAGAGCGAGAATTAGAGGAAAACATGGGAATGCAAATAGTAAAAAAGGTAAAATATTTAGGAATCTGGCTGACAGGGACATTTTCAACAATTAAGGAAGATAATTATGATAAAATGATTCAGAAAATTAAGAAAGATTTGGAAAATTGGAGGAAACTACAAATATCACTAATGGGAGGAATTGCCATCATTAAAATGAAGCTACTACCAAAAATTTTATTTCTATTTCAAGTGGTACCGATTAGCCTAGGTAAAAACTTTTTTATAGATTTAAACAAATTAATTGCACATTTTATTTGGTCAGGGGAAAAAACACGAATTAAATTAAAATTGTTACAGGATAGTAGAGAAAAAGGAGGATTTGGACTTCCCGATTGAGAGCTTTATTATCAAGCAGCAGCTCTCACCTGGATAAGGGACTGGATCAATCTAAAAAACAGAAGATTACGAACAATAGAAGATTTTAATTTGGAACTGGGTTGGCACACCTTTATCTGGGATCAGAAAGACAAAATCCATAGCTATTTCCAAAAATATTTAATTAGAAAAGCTCTACTTCAAATATGGTTAAAAATCAAAACAAAACACTACAACAAAATCCCAACCTGACTATCTACCATGGAAGCTCTGATATACCCGAACATTTTGGACATAAACAAGATAATAAGATATAAAGATATATTAGACAACCAAGAAAGACTAAAATCAAGGCAAGATTTGAAAAGAGGGAATAGATATAGGCTGGTGGCCCTATTTACAAATACAGGCAAGGTATAAAAAAGACAGGGAAAGGGATGAATTTATAAGAAGCCACAAGAGCTGGATAAAATTCTGCAGGGAACTAAGAAAAATTGATTTAAAAAATATCATTATCTATTAAAATTTAAAATGGAAGAAGAAACTGTGAAAGAAATGATGATAACATGGGTGATAAATTTTGGGTATAGTATAGAATTGTCGGAATGGGAAAAAAATTGGGAAATAAATTACGAATTAATGATGGCAACGGCATATAGAGAGAACATGTACAAGATGTTCTACAGATGGTATCTCCCACCAGCGAGAATTGCAAAAATGTTCCCAGAGTGCTCACCTATCTGTTGGAAATGCAACCAACAACATGGAACATACTACCATATGTGGTGGACGTGCACATCTGCGAAAAAGTATTGGAGAAAAATAAAAGATTGGCTATAGGAGATTACTACACACTAAATTGCACTAAAACCTGAAATATTTTTGTTAGGAATTATAAAAGTAAATTATGAAAAAAACAGATACTTAATTCTACACATAATCACGGCAGCGAGAATTACATTCGCACAAAACTAGAAAAATAATTATACACCAACAGAAGAAAATGTAATAAAAANTGCCCATAGGCTGAGTGTGGGTATCTTCCAATCCTTAATATCATTGTGATCATTTTTAAGGGGGTTTGGAGAGATTCAATTCTTGCTTTGATCTTATATGTCCTGCTTGTAATTTCTTTTATTTCTTTATTTCTTTTATTAATTTCTTTAATTTTTCAAAAAACTATACAGCAAACAAAACATATTACAAGACAATATCTAACAATACTTAAACAAAAAGAATCTACATGAAATTGAGGAAGAGAGAAGAGACATGCTAAACAAAAAAAATCACAATGATGGAATTAAAGGAAGCATTGAAGACAAAAAAATAATAAAATATCAGGCCCAGATGGTATACCTGTATAATTTTATAAAGCCATGCAAGAGCAGACAGAAACAGTGATCTTAGATTTATTTAATGAAGCGCTTATAGAAGTGAAGCTACCAAAATCATGGAGGGAAGCATATATAACATTGATACCCAAAGAAGATTCGGACCATCAACAAATAAAACATTATAGACCAATTTCTTTACTAAATGCAGACTAGAAAATCTTTACATCAATAATGGCAGAGCTAATTAAAAAATATTACATAAAATCATTCACACAGTTCAAAACAGCTTCTTACTAAAACGCCAGTTAAAAAACAATATGAGAATAATTATAAATACACTAGAATATTAAGAAGAGAATCCAAGAAAACAAGTTGTACTGGTCTTTTTAGATGCCCAAAAGGTCTTTGATAATTTGAATTGGCATTTCATTATCACACAGTTAAAAATGATGAGATTTGGAGAAAAATTTATAAAAAGATAGAATCAATATATTCGGCTCAGACAGCAAAAGTAATAATAAATAGTGACACTACCAAAGAATTTAAAATATGGAAAGGAGTGAGACAAGGATGTCCATTATCACTTTTATTATTTATATTAATACTGGAAGTTCTATTAACAGAAATTAGAAACAATCAAGAAATAAAGGGATTGAAAATTAAAAAAGAGGAATGTAAAACACAGTCATTTGCAGATGATATGGTATTCATATTAGAGTAAAAGAGAATTTGACAACTAGACAGATTCTTTGGGTATTAAAAGTTTCTTTACCGTGTGGAATGGGAAAAAGG